GTAATACAGAAGAGTGGACATCTGGATAAATATGACTTATCTGGGAAGACTTAAAAAGGTTTTCATAAAAGGAAGTCCTGCCTCACAAACATAAGGCAGTCCTTTGAGGGGATCAAAAAACACGTGGATAAGGGTGATCTGGTTGATCTTGGATTTACAAAAGGCTTTCAACAAATTCCTTCACTGAAGGCTTTTAAGAAAACTAAGCAGCCATACCATAACATGGCTTAGAAGTATAAGGTGATACACACTGGAGAAAAAAACATTAATTCACATATAAAACAACGAGGTTTGAACTGACTATCATCATACAAGATTTTAAAAGATAGTACCATGAAAACATCAACTCAGCAGCATCTGAAAAAGCAAGTCAGGTGTTAGCAATGTTGTGGTTAGCAACTAGAGAACAAAACAGATGATATTATCATGTTATTGTATAAATCCCAACTTTGTCTGCAGTCTGAATATTGTGTGGCATTCCAGGCCCCCATGTCAAAAAGGATAGAGAACTACAGAGGATGTAGAGAAAGGCAATGAGGATAATGAAAGGTATGAGACAGCTTTTGTATAAAGAATGACTAATTATTCTGTTCTTCTTCCCTTAAAAAAGATGACCGAGATGGATATGTAAGAGGTCTATAAAATAAGTGCCTGGAAAGTGTGGTTAGGGATTGCTTGGTCACACTTTCCTCTGATCCAAGAAGCAGAGGACATCAAATGAATCTGTAGGATCCAGATTCAAAGAAGAAAAGATGATTCTTTATGTCACAATGTAGTTAGGGATGACTTCTACAATAAGCTATAGATACTTAATGTTATGTGGGCTCAAGAGGAAACCACATGGAAAAGTTCATGGAAGAGAAATTCGTAACTAAGTACAGAGGAACTGCATCTGGCTGAGGAAGTTTTTGAGTGGAAGTTACTGGAGGCCGCCTGAGGAAAGTAGTGTACATTTTCCACGTTCTTATTCTTTTTCCTAAGCAACCATTCTCCACCGACTATCAAAGACAACATTTTAGGGTAGATGGGCTCACTTTGGTCTAAGTATGGCTATTCTTAGTTTATCACAGCTCATCAAGGCTAATGTGCTAGATTTTTTGACTGGCAGTTCTTGAAAGCAGAGAAGCAGGTGGGTGTTTGACCTGGAAATTTTTTCATACAGATCTCATCATAGAAGATCAGATTCAAGCCAATGCTTTACCTGTATTTGGGCACAGATAGATGTTGGGTGAGTTCTGGCATTTGTCATTTGCCAAGTTTATAAAATTATTTTTTGTGACATAAAATTTTTACCACTTGTTGCCTAGAATTGGATCTTTAGATTTTAGTGAAATGATTGAGATGGTGGCAGTAGTTAAGTGGCTGTGCTTGCTATTAGCTTTAAATTTTTCAGTGGATTTCAAAACTTATCTTGGAATTTATGCTATTTATTTATGCTATAGAGACCACAGCGACCAAAATGTCATAAACTCCATGAATGACTCCGCTTTTATCATGATGTCCAGTTTCTGACCAGCATTTAGAAATCCCAAAGGATGCAGAGAATGTACAAGAAGATAAGACTAATATTAAAAAGCAAGATATGCTGCGGCATAAGCATTTAAGAAAGTCATATAAGGCAAATGGGAGTTGTTAATGCCTATGGAGTATTATTTGTTAAATTAGGATATAGGAAGCTTTGGGTCCCCCCATCATGGGAATAGTTTAGTTACACACTTCAAATGTTTTTCTTACTGCGGAGCAAGCAAAAAATTCTCCCTCAGAAGAAAAAAGCAGCAATTTGTTTGGAATTGTTGTTATAAAACCCCCTCAACATACTGACTAGAAAAACGTTATCTTTCCTATCTTTGTTCTCCTGTCAGGACTACAGTTCCTGCCTGACCAAGCAGAGTCCTACAGCAGTTTAAATGTACCAGGTTTAAATGTCCCCCAAATTTTTTCATTATACTGGGTTACTCTTAGTTTAAAGATTTTGGGGGGTTTTGGTTTGTTGGTTAAATATTACATTCTTTTCACAGCTTGTTCTGGAGTAATTAGTACTACACTATATATATATATATATATATATATATATATATACACAAACTCAGCAGAATAAAGAATTTTTCTTTGGAGAGCAGAGATCTTACAGCACCAATGATGTTATCTATTGTTGCCGTTACTTCCACAAGATGATTTAACTTGTAGAGCGCCATGTGGATTTCACAGATTGGAAGCCAGTAGAACACTAAAGTATTCAACTTTAAGGACCTAAAAAACTAGCGCACAATGTTGTAGGCAACTGTTAATTTTGCTTTTAAGAGAAATTTCTCTAATGTTTTACACGGTGATTTTAGCCAAAACCATTGGCATGATTTTGCTGTGTGTTTTGCTATGATACAATCAAAGTTAAAGTCCTTCTCTCTGCTCTTTTGCCTTAAGTATGTCAAATAGAAGATGGGGGATTAATTTCAAGGAACACCAACTACTGATACTTCAGCAGCTGTACGGAGACATTTCACGTATGTCATACAACTAAATCAAACAGATCCTGGTGTTCTGACTGGTTATGTTTTCAGCTGAGCAATGACTAATCAAGATTCTTCTGTTTTATCATTTTACACAGTTCTGTTATATGGATAAAGGAGATAGAAGCATCTACATCTAGTACAAATACCCATCAAATATATGACCATCCAAATGCAGAGGTGTCTGTCCTTAATTTGTTTTCTACAATAAGTATATGAAGAAGTTCAGAAACACAGATCAGATTTGATTAATCCCTTTTACCAAAATGATGAGAGTGCCTAATACAAGCTCAAAACACCCTAACAGTAATCAAACATATAAATTCCATCATAGATTTATGACATTTGAAGGGCTGATAATGACGTGATTAATTTTCCTAAAAAAAAGTGTTTATTTTTGTATTTACCAGAGTGTCATAGGGCATTTTTTGCAGCTATCTACTTCAGAATTTTATTGTCACAAAAGTATCTATAAAACTGTGCATCATTAGGCAAAAGGGAGATAATTTTGTCTAAAGCAAGATTCTGCCTAGCAAAAGACTAAAAAACTGTCTACTATAGCAACATATCAACACTGCACAAGATAATAAGAAGCAGTTAGCCACCTTGAACTGAGTTATTTTAAACGAGGTGTCTTCACTCAGGGTTGTCTAGCAAAGTTCCTTTAAAGACCAGGCCAGAATTCCCTTTCTGAGTAGGGCTTCTCTGATAGTGTTTTCCTTAAATATTTAATTATATGGCAAGCTGTGCTTGTTTTGCTTCTGCAGAGCCTTTGACTTGTAGTCAATAAAGAAAGTGCTCTTCCTGCCATTAAATCCTGATATTTAGAGAGTAACATTTCCCTCTGTTTGATTAGGGAGCTTGTCTCCACCCAGTCTTTGGGTTACCTTACTGTCTTCAGAGGCTTGATGAAAGGGCTCAAGCATCTAAAAGCCTGTCTACTTTTTCCATCCATAAAATTCCAGTTTAACAGAATATCCTGTCTCTACCTTGATATTTTGCCTAGTGGTCTGTAAAGAACATTGCTATAGTGTAAGGAAGCATCACTCTAGGACACTTAATTGACAGACACGCAGGCCTAGGTTTAAAGCCTCAACAGTTACCAGCTACTTAAGATGCAAAGTTGTGTAACTCAAATGCTGAGTGCTCTCTGTTGCTCTGACATCTCTGAAGACAACCAGTCAAGACAAGCAGCCAACCAAAAACACATTGTACAGGGACCTCCATGGAATTTACGCTGTGGGAATTCAACATTAAACCCCAGCAACCTAGGTCTCAAAAGCAAGAGGTCTAGCCATTAAAGATGTTTCTGCCCACCTGGTGAACACTCTGCTTTAAGACCAGCTTAGTTCAAAATGCAGTGTGATTTAAAACAAGCTAACTGACTTTGGGCTGAGGTGAGTAGAAGTGCTTACGCTGTCAGTTGTTAACACTCAGCTAGGGGAATATTCATCCCTTGCTGAAGAACAGCCACCTCTTAAATCACTCCAACTAGACCTGGAGGAGCTCAGCTGTTTACAGTCCGCATTACTCCAAGTCAGCAACGAGGAACAGAACTGAACCCAGGTCTTGTAAGGCACCGGCAAATTATCTTCCCAGTGAATCTTTTTTTTTTTTTTTTTTTAATGCTTATAGTAAGGTTCCCCTTTAATGACACAATGCAAATCATCCATTGATAGCATCAGTAGAGAGATCTGATACTTCATTCCACTAATTCTCTTCCCCTCTCCAGTAGGAAAGGCAACAGGCTGCATAAAAACAGGTATTATTAGGGTCCAGTAATAATTCAGGTCATTGCCAAATAGCAGTGCATGTTAAACTATACTGAAGTTAGAGAGAACCAGCAAAAGATGCAATTCCAAGACAGGGAGATCAAAAAGCTTTTTTTTTTTTTTTTTTTTTTTTTTCATGCCTGCAGAGCTGCAGAAAGTGCATGCGGGGTAGAGATGAAAATCGTAAACTTAGTTCAATCTAAGTGTATTAGTTATTCAGAGGATGTAAATGACGTTTCACTTGAGATTCCGCTTTCTTCTTTGTTTGGAGTATGAATGCAAGAAATGGGTAAATTAGAGTTTAAAACATCTGGCACCATTTACTAAAGTAAACTCACGTCCTAAATTGTCACTGGGAAATGTACACTTCTTTTTGCTGTTGTTTTGATTTAGCTGTCAGGAGAGTCATGTTTAAATACAGCCTTTTCTGCCTCATGGCTGAGTCTCTTTGTGTGCATTTGCTCAACATTACTTACTTTACTTTGAAGGTGGGCTGAGCGTAGAAATCTGACGAAAGAGTGGGCTGTGCCCTCGATCCGAGGGAGCTCTTACATTCTTCTGAATGACTACATTTGCTAGTGCAGTACACAGCAGCAGCAACAGTGTGGTGCTCTGGGTCTCCAGCTCTGCCTAGCAGACAAATCTCCAGCTCGCCGAACATCTGCAAGACAAATTTTTCATGTTCTTCTGTAAATGAATGCTGCCTAACTGCACCAGGAAAATGGGCACAGGGGATTATCTCTGCATTGCTATGAGTGGAGGGGCGCCTTGGGGCTTTAGATTGCAAGGTGGCAAGGAGCAAAAGCAGCCTTTGCAAATCGCCAAGGTAGGATCATGAAAGAAAGATGTTATCGGTGTTTTGTGAACAAGTGAAGAGAATAGTTTGTTTAAAAATATACTGCTTCCAGTGAAGTGGTTGGTGTGGATCTTATCGTGATGCTTGTTTGAATTTGCTAACATTTTGCAGAGATTCTACAGGTGCTGATTATGTTTGTTTCAATAAAAAGGAATGATTACTTTTTGGTAGCTTGCAAGTATTGCAAACAATTTCTTAAATGTTAAAGGTTTGAAACTGTGAAATGATGTATGCCTTTCAGCTCCTGTTTGATTCGCTGTATGTTTTTGAATGCACTCAACATATCGCAAAACTGAATCTTGTATTAGGAAATGCTGTTTCAGTCATCTATGATACTTTTTTTACTCTAGGCATAGAATAAATACAGCTTTATCATGAGAAAATGTTCTTACTATTTTGGGAATCCTGGAAAGCGTTACACTGAGTTATCTCTGGTTTTGGAAAGTTATCCAGTCTTAGAAGCAGCTTTAATAGATGCCAAACATTCCCTCTTATATTTCATGAGCAACACCAAAAATTACTGAACAATTCATAAATTTTCTTCATGTATAAAATGAGAGCAAAACAGACAGCAGAAATTCAGAATAAATAAAAAATAAGAATTGGTAAGCCCAAGTTGCAAAAATAATAGTTAAGAAGTAGCTTTGCTAAAAATCAGTGCTCACTCCATTGCAACAGCTTCTCCACTAGTGCAGCAATGAAGATTTGACGGTTATTAAGGCTTATGTAACTTATGGAGCTGCATTCTGTTCTCCTAGACAAGAGGGACAAATTTTGTCCAGAGCTCCGAGGTCAGCAAAACACCACTGATTGAAATGATACTGGGACTGATCATCATACAATGAATTCTGCCTTGTTAAGCTGAGGGAGAGAGATTTAAATGTATCTTATCACCTTTTAGTATCTTGATAATCCAGTACATTGAGTGTTAAGGTTTTTGTACTTTGATACAGTATTTTAGATCAGTAGTTTAGCTATTTAAGCTCTAACTTTCCTAAGCTGTCAATATATTTATTAATTACTTAAATTTAATTCACTGGATCAGTTAATCTACCTCATTTCCTAAAAGAAGGTCCTTGTAGTTCCTCTGTCAAGAAAAGAACGTCTTTCATTATTATTTTCAATGATTTCCAGCCCATAATATTAATCATATTCAGTAATAGAGCTATGATTTATTGAGTGTATGTATCATTTTTCTCATTACTGTTAAGTGTTTTGTTTGTTCTTATATTTTGCAAAACTTGAACATGTTTAAATTTTTTTCCTACCAATGGGCAACTGTTGCTTTACAAGTAAAGCCACTGATAATAGATGACAGTGGAATCCTGCCATCTAGTGAAAGCTTGTAGCTAGAACTTAAAAAATTCTAAGTAACGGTAAAAGGCAAGTGGCCTTGATTACATAAAACCAAAAGTAAAAACAAAAAAGCACAGTAGTTTGAACACGAGATTCTGATTAAGTTTTAGTTTTTCTGATAAAAATGGGCCATACAATTTTTTTTCATATTCACATCCTAGACTATGGCATTTATGTCTGAGTTCTGTTTTACCACTAAAATTTGGGACTTGAGAACACATGGTAACAATTGTGCCTTATTTCTAATGGGAAAATCCACCAGTAAAACATATCTAAATTTAGGAAAAAAAAAAATGTATTTTTAGGAAAAAAAAATCAAAGCAGAATGAGTTTGTTTTCTTGCAATTGAACCCCATCAAAAGGCACATAATACAATACTTCAGAACACTTTTGTAAGAGTACGTGCGTATTAGCATATATAAGTGTTGCAAGCATGGTGGATTGGGTGCTTTATGAGTTCCAGATCAGTCCTTTCTCCACGCTTAAGAGTTGGTCAGGATCAGCGAGATTTGAAAACTGACACTACTATCTGGCTGAAAACCTGAAACTTAGAGTTGACAGGCCACAGCTTTCTTTGGGACTCACTCTGTCAGCAGGCTTCGCCGTCCTCCCCGGAGAGGCTGGGGTCTCTGCGAGGCGTGCAGACGTGGGTCTCCAGGTCAGGCACCAGCGGCAGATTGAGGCATGGCGAGGTGGGGGGTCTGCAGCTACACTGTGTGTGACCTTTTTTGGGGAGAGGCAATGTTTTCAGCTTTTATTCTGTTATTTGTGAAAAGTGAATCTAGTAACTCGTGAAGGAATAAAGAATTACCCAACTACTGCATAGTAATTTTCCTACTGGCTCCAAAATCAAAGGCTGTGTTTCTTAAACACAATGAAAAATTGTTACGGGTTTCTTTGGTAGGTTTTTTTTCAATTCAAGGTTCAGCTTCTCTACTGGTACATACTAATGTAGCTCCATGGAACCAGTGGGTCATTGCCAATTTACACCAACCGAGATTTTGTCAGAAGTGTGTATTTCTGGTTTTGATGTCTCAGCTAGCAGGAGCTGGGAAAGCTGCAGAGGGGTTGCTCGCCTGGTTGCCGACACAACCTGAGCACAGTATACCCCTGGACTGCTGCAGAGGGAAGCACACTCAGGTCCCAGTCGTGAGCAGAGCAGTGGTTGTGATACAGATCTAATGGAGAGAGGGATGTGAAGCGGAGGGAAATGAGATAATCCATGAAAATGTGGCAGGATACAAAAAGCCCAAATTCACACTTATCTACCCTTTTGATAACGGAAACACACTGTTTTTAAAGCTAATGAAATAAGTCGCTGCAGTTTACTGCCAGAAGCAACTTTTACCAGTTTGTTTTACACCTTTTAAAATATTGTTTTATTACATTTATTTAAAAATATTAACCCCCCCCCACTGTTTGTTGCCTAGTTCTTAAAGCATATATGTAAGTAGCATTCCCACTAAAATCAATGAGTTTTGCCTGTAGTATTGTCTTCCATTATCATGCAAAGTGTTAACACAGAGATAGAGACAAATGTTTTGCCTTTGCAAGAAATATCTCAGTGTTTTTTCTAACTAGCAGATAAAATAGGAAATTTTCATTAGCAAATAATTTTACAACCATTAAATTAGATTCAAGACATTTCAGTAATTTGTTAGATGTGAGATTGCAACAAATCGATTTTTTTAAGTATCACAAAGTATCATTTTGTTTGTCCATTTTTGACTCTTATTAAAAATGTAAATTTTGAAAACATTTGACTCATTTTCTGTAGAGGCATACAAACTGTTTAACACCCCTCCTCCTCCCAACCCTGGCTCTGTACATCAACTTACTTTATTATGTCCACTAATGTTGTAACTACTTCATAAAAATTTATTTTCACTTAAAAAGAATTTGCATATTCTATATACTGTCCACATATACCATAATGACTTTAAAAAAGATCTGTTTTAAATATTGTGTCAAAAGACATATTGTGCTAAGAATGATAACTAATAAATGAATGTTATTAAAAAAAAAAAGATAATTGGGAGTATAAAGCTAAGGAAAACAGTGGCTGTATCAGTTGTGCTGTGTGGGCACCAAGACACTAAACCATGTCAGTATTGCACTGTAGGATAGCTTTCCCAAAGTTGGGAAATCTCAGTACAACAGTGACCCTAGATGGCTAAGAATTCAAGATATATAAGAGCAAAGTGTCATGTGATCTCCTTTCCGTTTCCACTGTGAGATATATGAAAGAATCCTTTTTTTATGAATATCATAGTTTTTTCTTGTAAATTTCTTTTCAGTTTTTAATTTAAAATATATAAAAACTCTATGTACAAAATAATGGATTATTTTCTGGACTAGCATTTGAAAGAAAGTCCTGGGAGTTTTTCTACTAATAGTTAACAATACCAGCTATGTTATATATAAGGAAGCTACATCCTTTAAGAAGCATCTCTTCTGCAACAGGTAATTTAATGGAGTTGTCCTATAGACGATTTAGATCTATAATTCAACTATGATGTAACTCCATTAAATTATCTGGTTGCAATAGAAGTACATTATTCTCAGCATACTTGTTACCTACATCAAACAGCAATTTGATGAACTCATTGTTTGTATCTGTCAAAGTCTTGCTAATTTAAGTTTGGGAACTTAACCCAATAGTTCTAGCATTCAAAGGCGTTAAGTTCCATGACTCAGACCTCTGAGCACTTCAAAGGAAATTCAGTCCTCTTTTTCCTATCAATATCCTAAAAGTGAAAATGAACAGATGCTTAAAAATCTATACAATCAATCGTGTTGCAGGTTTTCACATTTGAAACAGTGGGGAAACTAATGTTACTGAGACAAGGTGCCTCACTTGTTACTGAATTCAGATCACGTCAGTTCCAGAAGTAGTCTGGTCTATATGTAGTATATACAGAGATATTTCTACATACATACAACTCAGCAAGAAAGATGTGTTCAAAGGGGATCATGTTGTCCATTTTATATCTGAGAGAGCATTCATCCTGATCTGTCCCTGATTCACCAGCAGCAGAACAATATATAATTGCATATGGAGAAACACACAGCGATTTTTTTTTTAAGTGCTGACAGATTTTATGTACTTTTTCAGCAACTTTTTTCAACTAAATTTTTAGAAAAATAAAATAGTAACATTTCCCTCCCTTTAATTTCTACCATGCCAGTTTGCCACTGCATAACTACAATTATGATTCCTATCTTCTAAAATGTCAGGTTATTTGAAAGAACTTAATGTGATTTTGCACCCTGAAAATTTTTGCTCTACTACGGACATTTTTTTATGTCCAAACGTGCCAAATATCATGCAATTTTCCATTGTCTTGTAAATGTTAACTATAGTCTTAATTAATCCTATGAAATACTTTGATAATTCAGGGTTCAAATCCAATGGCCTCAACTAGGCTTCATGAAAAAACTAGACAGTTGGTGACTATTTTGCCAATTTCTGAAATAGACTTCTGCTGCTGCTGCACAAATAGTAGTTTCACCTTTGGCTCAGTAATGACATGTGACCACTGGCTGCCTGGTCATTTTAGACGTGTGCATTTGTCCATCAAAATGCTCAGATTTCAATTCAAGTCTCGGTTTCA